TCGGAGCCAAGCGAACTTTTTCCTCGATCTCCGGCGGATCCTTAAATGTGCTGCTATCCGCAGGCGATATTTCTTCACTCTTGAGAAGCTCTTTCGCCTTCCTCTCGACGCTCTTTTTTCTTCCCCTCCCATTTCTGCCCTTTAAAAATAAAAGGCTGGGTGCAGAATCAATAAAAAGATTTTGATTTGAAATGAAAAGGGGGAGAAGTGAAAGGGGAAGTCAGATGGGAGATGATTGTGAACGCCGAAACTGCCTCTCACTCCACTGCCTCTTTTCCTCCCCCAATCTTACGTTCTTCATTTTCGTTGGCTGAGACCAATTCAATATGGCGGTGAGTAAGAGAGTCGGGGAAGATAAAAATCGTCTGCGCCTTATTTTAAAAATTAAATGCTGGCGTTCTTTTGATGTAGAAATGTTCGCGTTCACTTCGTCTTGTTATTACAGAGTAAAAGCTAGAAGTTCTGATGAACGATTTTCGCTTCTCTTTTGAGTTCGCTGAAATCATCAGTTTTAAAGGAATAAATTAGTGAAGAGAAACGTCATTATGATATTTTTATATACAATACTTTGTGTTAGTAATATTTGTCTACACTTCAATAGGCCAAGAAAATACAAGCGTTCCGCCTTTTTTAATACATAAAACGATATATATGAATTTTTCGGGAGATGGGATAGGTGCCTTGGAAATATTGTTTGACAGTGTTTAAATTAAATATGTAACTTTACTTCTTTTGGTTTATTATAATAAACATTTAAAACTAGTTGTGGTTAAAAATTATTGAAGAACATAACACTATTAGCCAATTTGTTGTTTTCTTTTGCGAGGTTTCTTCTTACACAATTTGTTTACTGTTTTGGAGCAAAAATAAATAAAAATATTTAGGTGATTTTACAGCTTATTCAAAATAACTTAGATAATTTTAAGAAAATATTAATTTCTAATAAGAATTATACATATTTTAACATGATTTAAGACGTATATCTTAATTAATTTGATCAATTGTGAACCATCATTAATTAAAGAGAATTTAAAAAATATTTTTTTGGTTAAAAGACAAAAGATGTCACATCCACTGATAGTATTTTTTTGCGATCGCAACAATTAATTTTGAACAAGTACTTCTAATTCAATTAATAATTAAAACGATTTTAAATTTATTTTAGACGTATGTAATGATAAGTCAAATAATTTATCATTTACTCATTCATAACTTCCCAGTCGTTTATTTTCTTCAGGGAAGAAATGTGGATTTTATCCGAAAAAAGTTCATTTGCGTTTGTAAACAAATGCTATGTAGCGCCCAGAGAGAGGGAAAACACTAATGAAATTCTAGAAGTAATGGTCATATAGGACATAAAAAAGTGTAATCAAAATGCTGCGATTTTGTTTTTGGTGTCGTAAGGAAATTCGTCTTGTTGGAACATTGCCACGAATGCAAATCAATACCGACGTTTCCTGCACATTGTGCTCCCGTGGACGATTGTTCTTAATTTTTTTTCTTCGTAATTAGAAATCATTTGGGCCATCCTTCTAGGACGCATGTGGCAAGAAACAAAATATGTGGCAGTATGTCACTCATTCTGCTTCTCGTCGATAGCTCTTGTACACTTCACGCGGGCGCCGAATGAAACACTAGGTAAACCTCAACGTCCTGGTGCCGAGACCCCAAACCGGAAGCAACGAAATCCCATCTACCTCTACAGATTCACTTACGTACAGCGGTGCAACAATGGAAGTGGGCGGCGTCTGGCGACGGCTCTCCTCCGCCATCCGCGCGCCGGAGCTGCACGGCCGCCATTTCCACCCCCGGCGCAGGGGCGGTCGGCGGAGGGGTGGTTGGCCAGGCGCATGCGCGGGGCCACCCCTCCGCCGCCCTCGCCGCTGCCCCCTCCCCCGCGGCGCCCACGAGTGGAAAGAAGCAATTGAAAGAAACCGCACCCTTCATCTGGCGATCGGAAGCGCTTGCGAGGCGGCCGCTCGCGTAATCTTCGCGTCTCCTGGCGAATGTGAATCCTTCCTCCGAGGCGCGAGAGCGTTTCACCTCCCGGCGCGGTTCCCGGCAACGCAGCGCTCGCGAAGCGGAGGCGTGGTGTGTGTGTGTGTGCGGGGGAGGGGGAAGGGGAGGGCGCAAACAAACAACAAAGCACGTGGCGCATATGGTGGATACGCAAGCAGAGCAAATACCACACACAGCGAAAAACAGGGTAGTTAGGAAAAATGTTTGTTTAGGCCAGTACACATTATAAATAAACAGAACCTCACAATTACTTAAAAAACATTGTAATTAGTTAACATTAGTAACTAACGCATTACCATAAATCGTTGTTATTAAAATTCGGTATGAAATGCATATTTCAAAATGAATGCAATTGTAAAAAAGTAAGGATGCAGATGAACGCGATACAAATGCACATACGTAATATTGCGCAACGTTACAAATGAATACACGGGGCATGTAGAATTCATACATCAAATAACGAGTGATCTCTGAGGTGAAATTAAACTGTTTGTAAGTGGAGAAAAAGGAAAACATTAGAAACTATGACAGTTGTGCAGAATATAAAACATACTTAACGTTCTTAGTAAAAGAAGCATAAATTGTCCCAATTATACATATTATTTTCACACAATTCCTGAATTATTTTCGAGCAAATTATTAAGTGATGTTAGTATTATAACCCGTAACATTCTCTTATATACAAAATTTAAATTTTGAAACGAGCACAAGTATTTCGTTAATTAAAATGTTTCCACACGCTAATATTGTGAACAATAACGCCCGTTTCGAAATCGTTTTCTTAATTAAAAAACAAATAAGTTCATTCCTATATTAGTCGATATATTTCGCCTAGCTCATCGAACAAATAGCACAATTGCTTAATTAACAGTGAAATACGTGTAGTCTGCAGAGGATAGTAATGCGTTCCCAGTAATAATTAGCTACATTTTACGCAAAAACAAATATTAACAAACGAATATTTTCGAGGAGGTAATTCAATTACTGGGCGGTTGACGTCATCACTGGAACATACACTCCTCTACCGGTTTCGATGGCATCATATCATTAGTTTAATAACCAGCATGCTTTCATATACGTGTTGATTAATGATTTCCATTACTCGTGCCCTTGTCAGTGCGTAGTGATTTTTTTAGAATGACTGAACTTGCTCGTTATTTTTTCATCAAATACAATTTTCGTAAATTTTGCCTGTTTTCCACGTGCGCATGTTTACGTGATTGTGCGGAGGTGCACTTTAAAAAACAATCGGCGATTGAATATCATATATATCCTCATTTCAGAATAACTTTTATAGAGAGACGACACAAATGGTAAAGTACATAGTTCATATCCCATACTTTCATCGAAAAGGGCAAACCTTTTGTTTCTTAAAAGTTTATACATATTTAGATATTTTATTGAAATAACGGTTGCAGAGTTAATGTAAAATTTAAAAATATTGTTTCAAAAATGGAAATAATAATTGTTAACGTAATCTAAGTGGTGGGTGTCTTCAAATCCAAGCAACTTTACGAGAACTTTACGGTTTACGATAACCTCGTTTTAACATCCCGTACGCTCCATAAAATCTCCAAGAAACAATATTCCCTTTCATTGTTTCTCGTGACTTCAGTCAATCGTTTCTTTTCCAGTAACATTCATTATTTCAAAATACGGTGTTCAGAGTAAGATGCTGTCTCATCACAGCAGTAGTATTCTCAGCTTTTATCAAAATTGTGAAAGGTACAATTTTTTTCTGCAATGGTCATATTGCTTAAAATTAGGCTGTAACAATAATTTTTTTGAATATAAAACATTTTATTTAGGATATTATTAGTTATCCGAATTGAAATTAACATAAAATTAACTATCAACATTTCAGTAAATAAGTGGTTCGTATACATGACACTGAAAAATAAATCATGGAAAGAGACTAGAATTGCATTTTTTTATACAGATGTTACCTCCGTCCTTCTCTATGGCAATGAAAACTGGGTACCTTTGGGGAGAATTCTAACAACTTATAGAGAACAGAAATGTAGTTCTTAAGAAGAACAAAAGGTTACACAAGAGAAAGACTTAGGAATGGTGAAGGTGAATGATGAATGAAGGTCTTCAATGAGATATTAACGGAGGACAAAAATAAGTGACTACACCATGCATTTCAAAGTATGATCTACTTCTGTTTACTGAATGCAGCCTTCCAACAATATACGCCTGGAGGTTGGTGAGAAATAGGGAAGCCGAGAAGCCGAGAACGCAATAAAGAGAAGTTTTGTGGGACTAGTTTTGCCAGACTCCTAATCCTTGAAGTCTAAAAGAAAATAAGTTGTATAAAAATAATAAAAACAAAATTTCTGTAAGTATTATTTAAGTAAAATGAATAGGATGAAACACATTCTTCGAAAGGTAAATAAGTGTACCATCGCACTAGACACTAAAATGTATATGACTTCCGAAAGTTGGCGAAGTACTCCATATTGTGATATTATATGGCGTATATGATAATTAGTGATCGGCATAATTAGTAGGCGGCTATAACTTGTGTTAGTTTCAAGATACTTTTTACAAGTACAACAATTTTACACTGTTTATTTGCAATTTGTTCAATTTATAGAACTGTAGGCAAAGAATTTCACAATTTTAAAAGAACATGAGAGAAACCATTTAATGGTAATCCTCTTTGTCAAGTTAAAACGTAGGTATTTACATATATTGAGTAGAAAAAGGTCAACTAAATGTTAAACATATTTCAAGGGCATGAAATAAATTTAAAATTTTTATATTTGCGGACATTCCTTCATATGAAAGTGAATTTTGTTAATAAAATATCATGTACTGTTGGACGAGCTGGTTTCGGATCTATTTTCAGCTTCCCAAAGGCTAAAATCTGCGGGGTAAATTCAGAAGCATGTCAGATGAAATGGGACGTATTTAGAAAAATCAATTCATTGACTGCTTTCGCACTTTATTTTTTTCTTCGTTTTAGAAACTGATGATGATAACTGAATACACAGACATTTAACCATACGTTCATGGCTGTAAATACTTGTTTTCAGATTTTTGGGATGCTTCGTTCTATTAAGATTAAGAGATCAAATAGAATTGAGAACGACACCATTGGTATTCTTTAATTCATTTCTGTATTATCATGCTTTCGGAGACATAATTTTGATTATTAATTTTAGATGAAATATTATTAACACCTTTTACAACCATTAGAGTTTAATAATATTTTTAATGGTTTAAAAATATTCAATATATACTACGCATAAATGCAATAAAATCTTTTAAATAAAAACTTTAATAATTAATATAATACGTAGTGATTTTTCAAATTAAAATATTTAATATCTGTAACAGTTTTACCTAATAATGTTGATTTAATGTCTCCTAACTGTGACTCCAGTCATTTGACACCAGGTGGCATTATCCAAATGCTTCTGTAATGCATTACATTAAGTATTAATAAGGTATGTGTTTTTGAATAGGGATTATGAACTACTTGTAAAATCAGTGAATGTTAATACATTATTGAATCTTATATGTATGTCCAGTTATTTTTTAAACAGTCATTCATTTTATACATTATTATAATTTGTTAAAATATTGAACGTTCATATCACATTTTAAATTATTTAAATTAAATCAATTTCATTGTCGTATGTTTGCAAAGCGCCTTTGTGTATATTAAAATGTGATGTGAACGTTTGATGATTTAATAAATTTTAAGAATATGTTTAAAAAATAAATGGACATACATATAAGATTCAATAACGTAATAAAAACATTCAAAAAATTAAAAACAACAATGGTAATTCACTTAGTATTTTAATGGACCAGTTAGCTTGTACCCAATGATATAGGATAGGTAGTAATATTGTTGAATATCTCTCCTGTACTCCATAAAGTTGAATATACACATTTCCGAAAAATATGCGCATATAGTCCCTAATAAGCACATTGAGGCGGCAATAACTTCAGTACTTAGTAATTAGTGGAGCTGCAACATTGGAATTATATAGGTATAATTATAATAATCGCATTGCAACTTCTGTACTACCAACTTTTCAGCATTTCTTATAAAAATTTCATTACCAAACTCTTTGGAACCCATCTATCTCCATTTTCATGTACTACATTAACATATTCGAAGATTCACTTCATAAAAAAATTACCTTACTACTTCTTATATGTACAGAAATTGTATTATCAACGTTGAATGTATACATATGAGTTCCGAAAATAATTTATTGCCATGGTAACATGCTCAGAATTGATTTGGGCAATGAATTTCCTGGTTACCTCGCGCACATAAATACTTTTTAATTCACTATCACAGAAAGATTGTAGAATTTAAAAGGTATTTGAATTCACACACTAGTTTAGTTTTGATTACAGTAATATACAAGTATATGTTCTATAATAATGTGTTCCTTCAAATGATACTTACATTATTCACTCATTTTTAATTTTTCAAATCTCTAATTTTTTAATACAAATTACATACTTTTTCAGAAAAAAGTTTTGTTCGTATGTGTATTAAATTATAAAATTCATGGGCAACGTAAATATTAACGACTCAGAAAAAAAATCAAAAGTTTACTACATTCATAATCACGCCTTACTCTATTTGAGCAATAAAAAAAGTTGCGTTTTTGAGAAAATTTTGAAATTGTCTTTTGGGATTCTTTTACATTGGCGGGGTCTGAAGTTGATTGAAATCGTTGGAGAATTACATTTTGTGAGAAATCAGGTCCGCAATTTACGCGATAGAATGGTTTACAGACTACAG